ATTCAAGTAGTGTTCAACTTGAACACGTTCTAACTTATTTCTCCTCTATCAATTATTTCTAAATAAATGATAGTGCCTTTGTACATATTTATTTTGTTGTTGGATCTTGGTTCCTTTGCCCGTGCATTCGCACACGTTTATCATAATATGTAGATATTAGATAAATGACACTTGGAACTACCCCTAGTTCATTTAAGAACTCATGTATCCAAACAGCCTCCATTAGGCTTTTAATGCAACAATGTACTCGGCATTTGTGGTTGAATTCACAGTGGTTTACTGCTTGGAACTATTCCAACCCACTGTCTCATCATTGAAATGAATATAAGACTATTAAATTATTATTCCCATAATAGAATAAAATATATTCTTTAGTCCATCTAATGTACTAAAGATAGTCTTAGCAGTCTTCCAATGTAGTTCCCTAGGATTTTATTGGAATCTATAGGTGATACTATGTGCATAAGCCATATATACCTCGTACATGTCATAACATGCATGATACACTCCATTGCATAAGCAAATGTAATCTTCTTCATGCACCAAAGTTTGGCATCAACTGAAAGACAATCTTTCTTTGCCAACTTGATGTCAGGTACATTGGAGAAGCACTTCAGTACCTTGACTATGGTCCGTGAAACTCTAACACTCTATTAGATCTATCTCGATAGATCATAATTTCAGGAGTATAGCAGTTTCACTCAAACCCTTCACAATGAAGGTACTTGGTAATCAATTTTTCACGGACTGCAGGTGAGGAACATCATTCCATTATCAATATGTCACATACATATATGATAAAAATAATATTATCCTCATTGCATTTACTATAAACGCATAGATCTTTCTTACTTCTCACAAAGCCAAACAATTATGTAACTTTGTAGAAAAAGATATTCCAACTCCCAGAGGCTTGCTTAAGTCCACTATTGGACCTTGATAACTTGCATACTAATTTCGAATTTGAATTGGATATAAAACCTTTAGGTTGTATCATATATACATCCTCCAATTTTCCATCAAGGAAAATGATTTTAATATCCATCTATCAAATATCATAGTCATAGTATGCAACTTTTGCAAGTAAAATCCAAGATGGACTTGATTTCATGAACATGCGAAAAGGTTTTATTACAGTAATCGTCTTCACGTTGACTATAACCTTTAGACACCAACCTAGCCTTGTAGGTTTGTACTTTGCCATTTGCATAAGAGTTTTCTTTTGAAAACTCATTTGTATCTAATAGGTCTAACCCCAATTGGCAAAACCAACCAAGTTCTAAACTTGATTCATGTACATCCAGTCCATTTATGATTTTATGGCATCAAGCCACCTCTCTGAGTCCATGTCTTACATAAACTCATTGTAGGTCCAGAGATCATCCTCATTAGGAATCTCTACATCATCGCGATCCTCCAAGAGGAAAAACAATCTAATTGGTTCACAACAAGTTCTAGTCAACCTACGGAATTTTACAATTAGTATTTGTTGTTAGACATTCTGATCATGAAGAGATTCTTGTACGTTGGAATTTCTCAAACGATTGGAGGGTTCTCAAAAATCACGTTTGTATGCGTTTATTGAGATTGAAGGACATTCAAGCCATTAGGTATTGATTGTATATGAGTGTGTTGCACTTCTGCGGTTTCACCCATATTACTCCCACTAGCTAGAAGTTGTTCATCAAATGACAAATTTCTATTTAGGGAATCACCAATACCTCCCTCTAAATTATTGTCAATACCAAACGACAATTCTTGAACCTCAATGTTATTTTTGAATTTTCTGAACTTTTCAAGTTCTATCACAACACGACCTTGTTCTTTGAAGAAAAAATATTCTCCTG